AAATTTCCTTCCATTCAACAAACCTTTGTTGGGCATCTACTATAGGGCACACTGTGCTCTGCTCTGCTCTGAAATACATCCATGAACAGGGTGGACAAACATCTATGCACTCCTGACACTTATATCCTGGTAAATTTACAAGCAACGTGTTACAACAGAATAAATGCCCTTAAACAAAACTTATTTAGGAAACTGGAGTAGAAATAGGAGAAAACTGAATGTTCAGATCGTGCCTATTTGTCAGGGAAGGTCTCATTGAGAAGGTGATGGTTGCATGAACATATAAGGAAGGTAACAGGGAAAGATGCTGTTGTCTGAGGAAAGAGCATCCCAGGCAGAAGGGTTAACAAGCATGAAGGCCCTAAGACCGCCTGCATCTTTGAGGACCAACAGAGAGATCAGTGTGCCTTGAGTTCAGTGATGACAGGGATGTTTGAACAGGAGCCCAGGGCTACTGTGTTAACTTGCTGTCTGGGGGAGAGCAAGGGTATAAATAAATAGAGTGCTCAGCCACAGAATATGACTTACACCAACAGAGGCAGTACATAATCAGATTTTGGACAGATTTTTTTTTTCCAGTCCTGGGGCTTGAACTCAGAGCTTGGGCACTGTCCCTGAGCTTCTTTTGCTCAAGGCTAGAGCTCTACCACTTGAGCCACAGGGCCATTCTGGCTTTTTCTTTTTTTTTGGGGGGGGGGTCCAATTGTAGGCCTGAACTCTGGGCCTGGGCGCTGTCCCTCAGCTCTTCAGCTCAAGGCTAGCGCTCTACCACTTAAGCCACAGCGCCACTTCCGGCTTTTTTCTTTTTTTTTGCTTATGTGGTGCTGAGGAATCGAACCCAGGGCCTCGAGCATGCAAGGCAAGCGCTCTACCACTGAGCCACCTTCCCAGCCCATTCTGGCTTTTTCTGCTTATGTGGTACTGAGGAATTGAACCCAGGGCTTCATGCATGCTAGACAAGCACTCTGCCACTAAGCCACCATCCCAGCCCATTGGACAGATTTTTTTTTTTGGGTCCGGTCGTGGCCTGAACTCAGGGCCTGGGCACTGTCCCTCAGCTCTTCAGCTCAAAGCTAGTGGTCTACCACTTGAGCCACAGTGCCACTTCCAGCTTTTTTTCTTTTTGCTTATGTGGTGCTGAGGAAAGGAACCCAGGACCTCATGCATGCAAGGCAAGCACTCTACCACTGAGCCACCTTCCCAGCCCCAATTGGACAGATTTTTAAGGCAGCTCCTACAGATTATGCTGATGAGTTAGATATGGGATGTAAGAAGGTTAAGAATCTTGGGAGAGCCAGGCACTGGTGGCTCACGCCTATAATCCTATCTACTCAGGAGGCTGAGATCTGAGGATCTCAAAGCCAGCCCAGGCAAGAAAGACTGTGAGACTCTCATCTCCAATAAACCACCAGAAAACCGGAAGTGGCGCTTAGCTCAAGTGGTAGAGCGCTTGTCTTGAGCTGAAGAGCTGAGGGGCAGCACCCAGGCCCAGAGTTCAAGCCCCACGACCGGACCAAAAAAAAAAGAATCTTGGTAGCTGTAAGCTACTGGCTCATGTCTGCAATCCTAGCTACTCAGGAGGCTGAGACCTAAAGACAGAGGTTTGAAGCTAGCCTGGGTAGGAAAGTCCATGAAAGTCTTATCTCCATAAACTACTCAGAAAAAGCCAGAAGTGGTGATGTGGCTCAAGTGGTAAACTGCTAGCCTTGAGCACAAAGAGGGTCAGAGACAGCACCTAGCTCTGAGTTCAAGCCCCAGGACTGGCAAAAAGTAAAACAAAACAAACAAACAACAACAAAACCCTGTAGGAAATGATGTTGCTTAGGGAATTGTTGTTAATAAAGGAAGAAGTAAGCTAATAATACTCAGCCAAAAATGTAGAGAGCCAGGTGTTGGTGGTTACTCTTAGCTACTCAGAATAGTAAGACATGAAGATTCTTGGTTTCAAGCCAGCCCTGGGCAGGAAAGTCTTTTGAGTTTTTTTTTTTTTTTTTTGGTCAGTCATGGAGCTTGAACTCTGATCCTAGGCGCTGGTCCCTCAGCTCTTCAGCTCAAGGGTAGCGTTCTACCACTTAAGCCACAGCGCCACTTCCGGTTTTCTGGTAGTTTATTGGAGATAAGGGTCACAGACTTTCTTGCCTGGGCTAGCTTTGAACCGTGATCCTCAGACCTCAGCCTCCTGAGTAGTTAGGATTACAGGTGTGAGCCACCAGCACCTGGCTTTTTTGAGAGTCTTATCTTCAATTAACCAGTGAAATGCCAGTCTGGAGCTGTTACTTCGGTGGTCCAGTATCAGCCTCAATCAAAAAACCAAACAGAAAAAAAAAAAAAAAACCCAAACAGAAAGCTCAAAGCCTGGAGTTCAAGCCCTAGTACCAGAACAAAAACAAATAACAACATGTAGTGGAAAGAAGTATTCAGAAGTATATCATGCAGTTAATATACAAATTTTTTTCTGTGTTTTTAATTTGTATTTGTTTTATATATATTATATATTATATACATATATGGCTCCTTTTCCTCCCTTTTAAAAAGATCAGATGCTGCATTTGCATTTTAAAAACTTTTCTTTTCTTATAAATGCGTTAGAAACACATGCATGAAAGAAAAAAACATTAAAATACATATCTAAGGGTTCATTTTCCTAACATTATATTATCTGACCTTTTCCGCTTGACTCATACATATACTAGCTATTGCAAATAAGGGAAACCATGGGACCTATGTTTCTTTGGGCCTGGCTTATTTCTTTGTGCTTTGTATGTCCCTCCCCCACAGTATAACCCCTGCTTTCACTATATTTGATGTCAGTATAACTTGTGGAAGAGATGGGGAAAAACAAGTCGTTTAAGGATACAGGTGGACCTGTTGCAACAATGAGAAGTACAAGTTGTCATGTCGAAAATGACATGTCGGTTGAGGGGGGGAAGGATTGGGTGGGGGGGGAGGCTGGGAAGGGATGTGAAGGGTAAACAAAGGAGGAGGCTGCAATGCTTGGTAAGAAATGTATGCATTATCCTGCCCATGTAATTGTAACTCCTCTGTACAGTATGTTCACAAATAAAATAAAATTAAATTAAATTAAAAAAAAAGAAATGTAGCTTGATAAGAAATGTACTCATTATCTTGCCCATGTAATTGTAACCCCTCTGTACAGTATTGTCACAAAAAAATTAATTGAAAAAAATAAAATAAAATAAAATAAAATAAAAACTTTTCTTTTTTTTTGGTTGGTTGTGGGGCTCGAACTCTGGGCTTGGGTGCTGTCCCTCAGCTCTTCAGATCAAGGCTAGCACTCTACCGCTAGAGCCACAGCACCACTTCCGGTTTCCTAGTGGTTTTATTGGAGATGAGAGTCTCATGGACATTCCTACCTGGGCTGGCTTTGAACTATGATCCTCAGATCTCGGCCTCCTGAGTAGCTAGGATTACAGGTGTGAGGCACCAGCGGCCGGCAGTGTTTTTCTTAAAGAGGACCCTTCAAGTTAAATAAACTTCAGGTCTCCACAAAGCCTATATGTAATCTTGCTTTTTGCCCAGTTAGGTTGTAATTTAAAATTTGTGGCTGAGTGGTAGAGTGCTTTGCTAGCATGCATAAGCCCTGGGTTCAGTACCACAGAAAGAAAAAAAGCCGGAAGTGACGCTGTGGCAAAAGAAACCCAGGGACAATACCCAGGCCCCCCAGTTCAAGCCCCAGGCCTGGCCAAAAAAAAAAAAAAAAAAAGAAAAAAAGTGAACTAAACCGAAAGATAATCTTAGGCAAGCCTCCCCAGTGTCTTCTAAAAATTTTCTACCATTTTTTTCCTTTGTTTTTCCAAAAATTTCCAAATGCATACACCATTTCTCCTCACATTCCTTAAGGGAGATGGGAATTGCACATACTTAAACCACCTTGAAAAACGAGGGTGGTTAAGATTCTTTTTTTTTAATTGTGAAAATACTGTACAGAGGGGTTACAATTACACGGGCAAGATAATGAGTACATTTCTTATCAAGCATTGTAGCCTCCTCCTTTGTTTCCCCTTCCCATCCCCTCACCCCACCCAACCCTCCCCCCCCCCACCAAAGTTGTAAAATTTGTTTTCGACATAACGACTTGTACATCTCATTGTTGCAATGGGTCCACCTGTATCCCTATTTAAACGATTTGTTTTTTCCCTTCCCCTCCACAAATTATACTGACATCAAATACAGTGAAAGCAGGGGTTATACTGTGGGGGAGGGACATACAAAGCAACCAAGAAATAATCTTATAAATGTGCTAGAAACAATCACCTGAAAGAAAAAAAAAAACATTTGAATACATATTTTAGGGTTAATTTCCCTAACATCAACTTATCTGATCTTTTCTGCTTGACTCACACATATGCTAGTTATTGCAAATAAGGGAAACCATGGACCTATGTTTCTTTGGGCCTGGCTTACTTCACTTAATAGAATTTTTTCCAAGCCTTTCCATTTCCTAACTAATGGGGCAATGTCATTCTTTCTGATGGAGGCAAAGAATTTCATTGTGTATATATATCACATTTTCTTGATCCATTCATCTACTGAGGGGCATCTGGGTTGGTTCCATATCTTAGCTATGGTAAATAATGCTGCAATAAACATAGTCGTGTTGGTAGCTTAAGTGTGGTCTTGTTTGTGAACATTTGGATAAATGCCCAAAAGTGGGATTGCTGGGTCATAGGGGAGCTCTATGTGGAGTCTTTTGAGGAACTTCCCGGTGGTAGGATTCTTATCCCGACAGTGGCTCAGCAAAGATTTACTCACCCGCACCAATACTCAGAGGTACTGAACGGGGCGTGGTCTAGGGCGTGGCCTACCGGAACGAAGGAGTGGGCGTGGCTTAGACACTTCCCTGACACCACCCTCTCCCCCCAACCCCCGGCCCTACCCCGCCACAGGCTGACGCATGCGCTCAGACCATTCTGGAGGAAGGAGGCGTGGATCGTGAGGTGACCCTGGCCTCCAACTTCCGGTTCCTAGGGCTGCGCATCCGGGTCATACAAACGCCGCGGTTTCCTCCGCTCGGTTGGTTTCACCGTGGGTCCAGACGGTTCCCCAGGGGTTTGGAGTCCGGAATTTGCGGCTTTCGGGTGAGTCCCCGCCTCGGACAGACCGGGCGTGAGCACGGCCGGTCGGGTACAGGCTGTGGGAGCTGAGTCTTGGAGAGTGGGGTCTCTGCGCCGGTCCCCCGCCTGCAGCCCTCCTTCACTCGCCCCGCTCCAGCCCCGCGCTCTCGCCTTTTGCCTAGCCGCCGCCGCTCCATTTTCCTTCCTGCTCTCACGGTTTAACCCTCCCTTTCCTTCGATCCCCGGAGCTGTGTGTGGGGGGGGCTCCGGGCTTCCCGGGTCGGCCCACCTCGCCCTCTTTCCCTGCGAACCAGGGCCGCTCTGAAGTCCACGACCGCGTCCTCCAGCTTCGCCGCTCCGACCCCTCCCCGCTCCCGGGCCGGCCCCCGACGGGCGCCGCCGGGGCTTCGCTGCAGCGGCGCTGGCTTGGCCCAAAGCCTGTCGAGCAAGACTTCCTCGGCCCCGGGCAACTTTGGCTGTAGGCGTTGGGGTTTGGCTGAACCCTGCCAGCTTCTGTGGTTAGAGAACAACAAAGGCTCTCCCAGTTCTTCCTTGGGGCTGTTTGGGGGCTCTGTCCCCGGCGGCTAACAGGTGGCCGGGCCAGTGGGTGGCTGCACTCGTGTGGACGCGCCCATTGACAGGTCAGGAAGACGACCTGTCATTTTCACGTTGTCTGCCCCAGGAGAATGGATGTGCACAGCTGTGTCAAAAATGCGAATGTTCTGGGACGTCAGCTCTGAGTTCTGCATGGGCTCTGCTGGCAGGACAACTGCCATGATCCAGGATGGCCTTTTTTGGGAAAGAATTAACCTCAGGTCGTGTGTGAGTGTGTGTGTGTGCGCGAGTGCGCGCCCCCGCGCAGTCCTGGGTCTTGAACTCAAGGCCTGGGTGCTGTCCTTGAGCTTTCTTGCAAATTGGAGGGAAGTGTCTCACGGATTTTCCAGCCCTCCTGGGTTGGCTTCAAAGCGAGATTCTCAGATCTCAGCTTCCTAAGTAGCTAGGACTGTGGGTGTGAGCCACCAGTGCACCCGGTTTAGCACAAGGTTTACCAAGTGTATCCTTAAGCATTTTAGAGTGTTGATACAGAAATGTTTTCACCTACAGTTCGCTAGTGAAACTTCAAAGTGTTTAGTTAGTTGAATGCAATAGGCAGATGTGTATCTCCGTTCTTGCCTTGTAAACTTTTTGTTTCTGTGCCATTTCTGAATTCAGAATCTAGTCGCTGTCCCTGAGTGTGACCTCCCCCCCGCCCCCCCAAGGCTAAATTCTACCCCTTGAGCCCCACTCTGGCTATCTTTTTTTTTTTTTTTTGGTCGATCCTGGGGCTTGAACTCTGGTCCTGGGCACTGTCCCTCAGCTCTTCAGCACAAGGTGAGCACTCTACCACTTGATCCACAGCACCACTTCTGGTTTTCTGCTGGTTTACTGGAGATAAGAGTCTCACTTTCCTGCTGGGGCTGGCTTTGAACAGTGATCCTGAGATCTCAGTCTCCTGAGTAGCTAGGATTACCTGAGTGAGCCACCAGCGCCTGGCAAACTTCTGGCTATCTTTAGGTGATTAATTGGAGATTACCTTGTCTTGGACTTTTCTGCCCTGATTGACTTCAAACATTGATTCTCAGAACTCAGCCTCTGAGTAGGTAGGCTTGCAGGCATGAGCACCCTCTACCCTGTGCACTCTAACTTAAAAAAAGAAAAAGCTTATTATTGTTGTCATCTTGATCCTGAAGCCATCTTATGGCTTTTTGTTTTGTTTTTGGTTCCAGACTGAATTTCAAGATTTTTTTTTTTTGGGGGCGGGGAGGGTAAGGGGTCAATCCTGAGGCTTAACTTGTGGCCACAGAGCCACTTCTTGTTTTCTGATAAGAGTCTCACTGACTTTCCTGCCAGGGCTGGCTTCAACAGTGATCCTCAGATCTCATCTTCCTGAGTAGTCAGGATAACAGGTGTGAGCCTCTGGGATTGAACTTTTGATCTGTCATTCATTGGCTCATTCGCTGACATTCTACCATCTGAGCCACACCTCTAATCCCTGAAAGCCATCTTTTTTTTTTCTCATTTGGGACTTAGAACATCTTTTTAAAGTACCTTGGGAGAGTAATGTACAACATATAGAGACTAGGTTCATAATGGTAGTGCCCTAGTCAACGAATGTTGTGGTCCAAGATATATTTTGAGGTATAGTGTTGGATCATTTTTCTCCCTTAGGTTTATGGTGTGTGTGTAGCATTTGATTGCAAATGTTTTTCGTATGATCCCTGCCTGCAAACATAAGCTGTGCTCTAAAATTTAGTACTTAATGTGAAGAGAAGAAATACAGCTTTTCGTGTCTGTTTTTCCTTTGGCTGAGTTCTCCCTCGTATAATATATGCATATGAGGTTATAGCTTAGCCCTGGCTTATTCCAAAATTGGGCTGCTCTCTTTACCTATTTTTAGCTAAGGACTTTGGAGCTTGGCCGCATTGGTCCTAGATACCACAGATAAAGACCCTTCTCGCTGGCTTTAGGACTTTGACTAAGTGTTGAGGGAAGTCCCTTTGAAAGTTTCTTATCTATATCTCCTCTCAGCACCTATACTGGAAACTGTAGCTTTTCTGTTCAATCTGACTTCACCATTTCTCCTCTAAAAACTAAGCCCAAGGACTGGGAATGTGGCTTAGTGGTAGATTGCTTGCCTAGCATGCATGAAGCCCTGGGTTCAATTCCTCAGTACCACTTAAACAGAAGAAGTCGGAAGTGGCTCAAGTGGTAGAATGCTAGCCTTGAGCAAATGAAGCTCAGGGACAGTGCCCAGGCTCTGTCCCCAGGACTGGCCAAAAACAAAAAAACAAAAAACTAAGCCCAAATGGTTGACTTTGGTTACTTCCTTACTTCTGTGTTTCTGAAAGTTTTTTTTAAAGCTTTTGGCATTCCATACATAGACCTGTTTGGGTTGATGCAGGACTGTCATTCCATCTCTTTCATTTCTAAGTCTCCATCTGTATATAGGTATTTACATTTTGTAGTTGGAGGGAATCAGAGTTCAAAATAGGGATCGTCATAAGGAAACCAGGACTTAAAGAATGAATGATGGTTTTTTCCAGTCTTTTTTTTTTAATATAAAAAAATTCTGCAAACATTGGGGTCACCCACCTGCAATCTGAGCACTCAGGCGGCTGAGGTAAGAGAATTGAGAATTTAAAGCTAGACTGGACTACCTAATAAGTTCAAAGCTAGCCTAGGCTACATATCCAGACCTTGTCTCAAAAAACAAGCCAGCAAAAATGTACAAAGTCAGCCAGGCGCTGGTGGCTCACGCCTGTAATCCTAGCTACTCAGGAGGCTGAGATCTGAGGATCATGGTTCAAAGCCAGCCCGGGCAGGAGAGGCTGTGAGACTCCTATCTCCAATAAACCACCAGAAAACCGGAAGTGGCGCTGTAGCTCAAGTGGTAGAGCGCTCGGCTTGAGTTGAAGAGCTGAGGGACAGCGCCCAGGCCCAGAGTTCAAGCCCCACGACCAACAAAAAAAAAAAAAAAAGTACAAAGTCCTACACATGTACTTAGTGTAGTGAGTTTTAGTTCCATCAAAGCTATAGGCTCTTAGTAGGTCATTTGAATATATATTTTGGTCATAAGAATTACCTAGGTTCAGGAGCTGGGAAGGTGGCTCAGTGGTAGAGTGCTTGCCTTGCATGCATGAGGCCCTGGGTTCGATTCCTCAGCACCACATAAACAGAAAAAGCTGGAAGTGGCGCTGTGGCTCAAGTGGTAGAACGCTAGCCTTGAGCTGAAGAGCTGAGGGACAGCGCCCAGGCCCAGAGTTTAGGTCCACAACCGGCAAAAAAAAAAAAAAAAAAGAATTACATAGGTTCAGAAGTTTATGACAGATTTCTAAATTCATTTGGATATAATTTTGAATTATAAAAAGGACTAAAGAAAGAAACGGGGGCTGGGCATCAGTGGCTCACGCCTGTAATCCTAGCAACTCAGGAGACTGAGATCTGAGGATCATGGTTCAAAGCAGGCCCAAAAAGGAAAGTCTGTGAGACTTATCTCCAATAAACCACCAGAAAACCAGAAGTGGTACTGTGATTCAAGTGGTAGAGTGCTTGCCTTGAGCTGAAGAGCTGAGGGACAGCAACCAGGCCCAGAGTTCAAGCCTCAAGAAAAAGAAAAGAAAGAAAGAAAAATAACCCAGTAAAAGGATGAATGCAAAATTGTTTTATTAATAGTGTTTAAGTATAATTAGTGTTAAGGTTAGGGTTAGGGAAAATAATAAGCTTTAGGGTAAAATTAAAACTTACGCTTTCTGGTTTTTGTTTTTGTTTTTGTCTTTTGGGTCCGGTCGTGGGGCCTGAACTCTGGGCCTGGGCGCTGTCCCCTCAGCTCTTCAGCTCAAGGCTAGCACTCTACCACTTGAGCCACAGCGCCACTTCTGGCTTTTTTCTTTTTGCTGAGGAATCGAACCCAGGGCCTCATGCATGCAAAGCGAGCACTCTACCACTGAGCCACCTTCCCAGCCCCATTTATGCTTTCTTACTTTTTTTTTTTTTCTTTTGGTACATGTTGGGGGACTTGAACTCAGGAACGGAGCTCTGTCACACAGCTTTTTAGTTCAAGGCTAGTAGTTGGGCTTTTTGGTTGCTAATTGAAGTTAAGAGTCTGAAGAATTTTTTCTCCCTGGTCTGGCTTCAAACCTTCATCCTTAAACCTCAGCCAGGAGGATTCAGGTATAATTGGGGTTAGGGCTAGGAGTAGGTTATGTTAGGGTTTGGAAAAAGGTAACATTGAGGGTCAAACTGAAAGTGTGTTGAAGAGTCAAAAGTGGAGTAAAAGGATGCATGCCAGTTGGAGTATTTGCACTAGCATTAGTAGTCCAGTCTGGTTAGGGTTCGGGTTTGGGGTAGGTTTTTGATGAGGGTTAGGGTTGGCGGAAAGATAAGGTTTAGGGTCAAACTGAAACCCATTTTACAACTTGCCAGGCAACTCTGCATGCTCAAGTCCCTTAAGGGGGGCTTCTGGAAGCAGTGAGCTCCCTGGAGGT